TTGCTAACGTTTAAATCCCTCTGTTGACTTCTCTTTAGTTTGCAGGTGTGGTCACTGCTCTTTGTGAATGGATATGTGAATAGAGTTGTGTTTCTCTCAGACCAGCAGAGACCAAACCCATCCGTCCCAGCAGAAAGAGACAAGCACCAGAGGACTTTTTGGGGAAGGGCCCTGATCGCAAAATCCTCATGGGAAAGTAAGATGATATTTGATTACTGGGTAACTTGTATAACAGAGGCCAAATCTTCTTTTCAAATCTTATTTTGCATTTCTGCTGTTCTTGACCATCATCAGTGACGAACTCTCAAGGCTCTGGAATCTAAACCCTGACAATATGGAGGCCTGCAAGTCAGATAGCAGGTGTGTGTTTGGTAATACTCACTTAAAGATGCTTAATGCTAGAAATGTTGCATTAATACATGTCTCTGTTAAAGGGAGTTCATGCCATCACTGGAGGACTTTTTTGAGGACGCTATCGAACAGGCAGATCCATCAAACATGGTGGAGGACGAATACAAGTACAGAGATTTACAAATTCAGTCTCATAAATGATCAAACAGTGCATCACAATAGATAAGAATTAATCATCAGAATAAACAGGTTCTTTGTTGTCGTCCCTCAGAGTTGTGCGTAACTCAAACTACGGCTGGCGAGCCTTGCGATTGCTCTCCAGAAGGAGTCCTCACTTCTTCCAGCCCACCAACCAGCAGTTCAAGAGTCTGGCAGACTATCTGGAAAACATGGTCATCAAACTGGCCAAAGAGCTTCCTGTGAGTGGACATCCACACTATCAGACAATGTAGAAAACTTTCAAACTAGTGCTTGACCAATATAGGCTTTTCAGTTGCTAATATATGTGACCCTGGACCACAAAACCAGTCATAAGGGTCAATTTTTCGAAATTGAGATTTATACATCATCTGAAAGCTGAATAAATAAGCTTTCCATTGATGTATGGTTTGTTAGGATAGGACAATATTTGGCTGAGATACAACTATTTGAAAATCTGGAATCTGAGGGTGCAAAAAAATTGCCTTTAAAGTTGTCCAAATGAAGTTCTTAGCAATGCATATTACTAATCAGAAATTATGTTTTGATATATTTACGGTAGGAAATTTACAAAATATCTTCATGGATCATGATCTTTATTTAATATCCTAATGATTTTTGGCATAAAAGAAAAATCTATAATTTTGACCCATACAATGTATTGTTGGCTATTGCTACAAATATACCCCAGCGACTTAAGACTGCTTTTGCACTCCAGGGAGTTGTCCAAATGAAGTTCTTAGCAATGCATATTACTAATCAGAAATTATGTTTTGATATATTTACGGTAGGAAATTTACAAAATATCTTCATGGATCATGATCTTTACTTAATATCCTAATGATTTTTGGCATAAAAGAAAAATCTATAATTTTGACCCATACAATGTATTGTTGGCTATTGCTACAAATATACCCCTGCGACTTAAGACTGCTTTTGTGCTCCAGGGTCACATATACAATGCCATCAACAAATATTGGCACCCTTAGTAAATATGAGCAAAGCAGGCCATGGAAAAAGTATTTTGGTCTATTCACAAAAAAATGTAGTTATTGAAATAACTCAACCATATTTGTTTTTCTCAAATGTATGCGTTCCACAATTAATGGCACCCCCTAAGCTCGCTCTTAAAAATAAAGCTTACAAAAGGGGGTTTATGCAGCGATGCAATAAAGCCATTTTGGGTTCCTCAAGGAACCTTTCAGTTCTAAAAAGAGCGATTATATTTTAATAATCTAAAGACGCCTTTCCCACTGTAAAGAATTTTTTGAGTAGTGAAAAAGTTCCATGGATGTTAAAGGTTCCTCATAGATGCCAATAAAGAACCATTATTTTTAAGAGTGCACAAGCATCAGGTGTACTTGAGTTTATGTAGTAGACAAAACTGTCACTAGCCTTTTCTTATCAACACGCACCTGATCGTCTAAATGTTTGTGGAATAACAAAAAGTTTACCAATATTGTGGATTTTTTTTTTTTTTTTATAAATATGGATATCAATTTATCACCCAGTCCTAGTTTAAATAGGGATCTGCTAGAAAGGCACTTCATAATGCTTGAATCCCTCAGTGAGCAAGTCAGAGGCGACTGTGACAATGAACCTAAAACATCTTTTTACTTGTTGGAATTTGTAGCTGCGCCAATAAGTTTGGCGCATATTTTGGGGGAAAACATTTAATTTGTTCTCCTTTTTGTGTGTGTAATTTTATTTTAAAGGTTAGGTTTTTTTAACTTCGTAAATAAGACGAGAAACAACAAAAAAATGTCATAATCCATTTCTTTCATATTTACCAAGGGTACCAATATTAATAGAAGGTAGTGTACAATATAATTTAATTGAAATTATAAGATTCACTCAAAAACTCTGCTCACCATTTTACTGTAAAATTCAATATTTTACGCAAGTTTAAAGTCTAAAAACTGAATCTTTGTTTTTCTTTAAACAGAAAGACCTTCCTTCTGAGGAGATAAAAACAAGCGAGGAGGATGATGATGAGGAGAATGGAGATAACCTGTTAAAAGAGAGCAATGACAGTATGTTTTTTTTTATAAAGTCTAAAGCCATTTTTATGACTGTTGCCCTGTCTGCTGGATTCTGTCCACTGTATTTCTCGGATCAAAACGGCAGTACGTTTGCATCAAAGTGGCAGCAGTTGCTAAGAAATGACTCCATAGGAGTTGTGTTGCTCGCCTCACTTTGTACTTTTGGTTTTGTTTCCAAAGCTTCATCACAGAACGTCAACTTCATTTATCTATAAAAGCTCAAGGACAACAGGAGTTCATTTTTGCCTGAGGCAAGCAGAGAAAATGTACAGCAGCCACAGCCACATAGCACATACGGAGTTAGTCGGTCATGGATTGTAATTATTTTGGGACGTGTTGTTAGAGAACTAGACAAAACAAGGGTTTTAAACCAGTTTCCCAACCCTGCTCCTGTAGTGCCCCCGCACTGCACATTTTGTATGTCTTCCTAAACAAAGACGCTTGATTCAGCTCATGTAGTTAGAAGACCTGAAAAAGGAAGATATGGGCTGCATATGATGTTCATAAGTCACATGACTTAAGTCACGTCCGGATAAAATTCATAAAACTTACTTTTTTAATGGTTGCAAAGTAATTGCATACTCTAAGTAGGTACTACTTTTAAGATCCAAAACACGGATAAAATTTGGCCGTACTTCAGGAACATGTTTGGGGAACACTGGTTAGTCTGGTTTAAACTTTATGCAATAGAGCTGCAAGCAGCAATTACAGGGTCAAGCTCGGCATCGGCAGCCAAATAAGCATGATGACATGTTTTAGGTTTCATGTCAAGGGCTTGCAACCATAAACATCTGTGTTGAGCACCAAAGGACATCTTCGACGATATTTCAAGATGATTTGACAGTGCATTTATAAAACATTGCATGTTATGACAAAATTAAAAATGATTGACACGAGAAACTGAATGGTTTGATTTGTTAAATTAACTAAATAATACTAGCTAACCAACACAATAAAAACATGATAACATAAAAAAAAAAAGATTTTTGAAAATCTGTTTTTGCCAATAATCTCTTCATATTAAGAACAATGTGGATGCAGAGATGTTCACAAGTCTTTAACTTGGAGTCCGAGTCAAGTCTGAAGTAATTTCAGGTCGAGTCTGAGTCAAGTCTGAAGTCTATAAAAATGCGACTCGAGTCCGAGTCACTAACTCGAGTGCCCATCTCTGTGTGGAGGTTTGTGTTTTACCTCACCACCATTCGGTCCGAGGACTTCTTCCAGCAGGGGTTGATGAAACCAATTACAAGTGGTCACAGGAGATGCATTTGCGATGCATGTTATGTCCGGCTGTGTAAACGGTTATCGGGTTACCTGGTGTGAACGGGGTCTGTGATGCCTTACAACATTGTCAATGTTTGCAGCACTGGATTTGGATCTGAGCTAGAATAGAATCTGAGTGTCAAAGCTTATTTGTTGACTAAAAGTGAACTGTCCTTTTCCAGGTCCCAGCATTCAGAGCAAGGCCGTGACCAACAGTCAGATGGACGAGATCGCAGCCAAGCTTGGGTCGCAGTGGAAGACGCTGGCAGACCACCTGGAGATGAGCGAGAAGGAGATCCACGTGATCGAGTCTGACAGCGAGGATGTAGAACTACAGGCCAAGATGCTGCTGGTGGCCTGGCAGGACCGAGAAGGCCCTCAAGCTACGATGGAGAGCCTGGTCACGGCTCTGAACTCGGCTGGTTTCAGTAACATCACAGAAGGTCTCAGTGAAACATAACAGCAACATTTTCTTGTTTTGTTTTAAACTTTGACTGTACTTCAATGAAATGCATTCTTTAGCTACATTTTTTTAAATAAATGTTCATTTGAAATCGGTCAATAGTTTTGTTTGTAAAATACACACGAGAGTGTCAATGGCATGTTTATTTCACCGTTTATGAAAAGCCAGTAGTCAATAACTTATTACAGAGCTCAAGTTCTCTTATTCTGATTGTATTTGAGTATTTAAGGACAGATGAGTTTACAGTGGCATTTGTTGCATGGTAGCTAAAGACAGAAGCAGTAATTGAGCATAAAGTGCTATGAAATCCACCTTTGATAAGTTTCAATACACAACACATCCTTGTAAACAAATTGCATTTCTTTTGGTGAGATCCCAGTATCACACAACCTCTTCTTAATGTATTTAAGTCTGAAACTTGAGGCCAAGAACATCTTTATATACCAAGTCACTACTTCTCCTGCGGGAGGATACCGTCTATTGAGTATGAACACCTTTTCACAGGCTTAAAAAAAAAAAATATTCAATGCATATAGAAAACATTTATAAAACCATTGCTCCAAATCCAAACAAGGATCGCGTCCAGCAATCTATCATCCAAAAAAGGGAAGGAAAAAAAAAAACACCCTTGAACATGCCACTTGTGTGTTGATGCATGAAGAGTTCAGGAAATATTAAGGTCATGTTTTTAAAGACACAAATTTATTTGCACATCTATACAGACAGTGCTCTGAAATGGCAATTATGGTTTAAGTTTCCTCTGTGAACCATTGTTACTCCAGTATCTCCAGACGTCGAGGGCCATACAGAAGGACGTATGCTATATGCCAATCACCACCACCAGACAGCTTCAAGATATCCTCAGGGGTCACAACGCTGACCTTATCATCGTCAAACTTCACCCATTCATCTGTTCAGAGAAGGGGGGGGTCAACATCAGCTAGAATAGCAAAACACCCTACAGCATGTGTGTCCAACCCTAAAAACACCTGCACCAGCTAATCAAGGTCTTCAGAGTTAACAGAAACTTCCAGGAAAGTGTGTCGGGCAGGGGCAGTTTGGAGGTAAACTGTGCAGGACTTGGCCCTCCAGCCACAGGATTGGACTCACAAACTGCATCAGAAGCAATAAAAAAAGCAGCTCGAGTTCTAGATTTTTATCTTTTCACTCAACTCACAATGCGATACGTTTCCCACTACTGATTTCATATGATTCTCACGTTTTCTTTTTTTAAATCAAAACTGAAATGTCAAAAAAACTAAACTAAACTGAAAATGTTGAAACAAATCCCAAATCAAATAAATAAATCGAAGAAATCTCTTCATATTAACAAAGGCTTTGCCTGTGCTCTTACCTTTTAAAATTAGAGGCGACCACTGGATTTTAATCACAATCCAAACAAAGATGCCGCATGCTGCTTGAGCAGTTTTTAACCTAAATTAGACTGTGTAATTTCGAAGTTTGAAGCAAAACCAGAATGGTCTGACTAGCTTTGTGAAACTACACTACATAAAACATCTGAACGAAACAAAAACAGCAGACGGGCTGCATGAGAATGCAAATTCACTCTCTGACAGCAGGTGGCGCTAATAAACACTACTTTATTATGCATTATATGGAGATTAGATAAATTCATTCGACCACTATCTCAAATGAGTTTTTGACTACCTCTGGGAGTGCTTAAAAGCAGACAAGCTCAAAACATTTCAGACCCCATTTACACCTGTATTTAGCATTGTCCAGTTGTGATCGGATCAACAAAAAAATGCATCTTCATACCAGGTGTAAACGGCCTAAAAGAGTGTGAGAGAGCCACAGCGAGCTGAATGCAAAGTGCAAAAGTAACAAATTATTAGCAATGCATTACTTTTAAAAGTAACGTTACTGTGTTACTAGTAAAGTAACATTGTACTTATTAAGAATCCTGGAATACTCACTCAAGCATGCAATCAAGATCCATTAAAGGCAAAAAAAAAGCCTATGCATTTTACGAATGATTCATACACATAATAATAATTGGCAGGGATCCCCAGACCAATACAATTAGTGTGACTCCTCGATTTTAAAACCCACGAGCTGCCACTGTTCATGCAACAACTTGATCTGCTCTTATTGAATGCATGAGGTCCATGAACACGGTTTTGATGTTTGAGAGACAGACAATACTTCACCTTCTTTCCTTTTAACCCAGCCGACGTAGTGGCCAGATGAACTGGATCGGCCCTGATGCGTCAGAACCGCTTGCAGGTCGTAGTAACCACTGTTGTTGGAGCCCAAATCTACAGAGAAGAAAAGTTCTCAGCTTATAAATCCACCAGCAGAGCAAACTTTTTCAGAACCGTGTTGAAATGGAACAGAGCTTTGCGGTGAGCACTTACCGTCAGAAAAACAGAAAGGTTCATATTTTGTTTCCTTTGGAGCTCCAACCTTCTGATTCTCCTGTTAAATGAGAAATAAAACGAATGTCGGTTATTTTACAGGCAGCTTTTCTAAATGCGTGAAGCGGTCAGTGTGACATCACAGGGCACTTGCTTTCGGCTGCTGCTGCATCTCCAGTTTCTTGTCTTCAACCTCCTTGAACTTTGACCTCACAGAAACCATCTTCTCCTGCACTCCAGCAGTGCACAGCTCATAGACGTCCAGCATAAGAGGAAATTTGACATCCTAAATGCAGCAAAATTAAAATGCACACAAAATAACAAATCAATATACAGATATTCTGGTTGACACACTTTATATTGCTGACTCAGCCCAGAGCAAATGACCTACCTTAAGGACTTTGGCATTCACTGACTCTTTTTCTTTGTAAAAGAACCGGACCATCTGAATCGTGAGGTATGCCGGGAGACGGCTGATTTTGGACTTAAATGCAGTAACATAACAAGTGACTGTTCATTTCATTGTTGCACAGAAGAGGAAACACTTAAACAAAAGAGCATTTCTCCAAACATGCCAGAAGTCAGAAGATAAAGCATACCGATTTGATATAGAGGGCATTTCTTTGTAAGGATGGGGACAACTTTGTAATGTCCTCCTGTAGCCTCTAGATGTAATGAGGAAAAGGTAACGATTAAGAGGGACTGTGAGCACTGATGCATACTGTTTGTATGGGACGTCCCACTCACCAATCTGAGTCCAGTGGCGAGATATTTGACTTCCTGATTGATGAAGCAGCTAAGCTGCAGCTGGTTTTCTGTGCCTTTAGTCGGATCCTCATCCTCTGACTCAGTACACTTCATACTGGACACATGCAGGTTAAGGAACTTAAAATATTACACATGTTCATATGCATGGAACTGGAGAAATCTCGGGTTTAACTGTATGAAACTCTCAATACAAACTCTCTGTAGAAAACTCTCAATATACATGTATGGCATAACACTGCAGTGAATCCAAAAGAGAAAAGAAAACAAATCGTTAGTTGCATTGTAGGACTTAAAAGGTCACATATCCTCTGACAACTAGGCTATAATGTAATGCACAAATAAATGTACAGCCGTTTGCGTTTGTACTTACATAGAAAGTATAAGAACACACTGCTGCAACTAATACATTTCAAGGCCTATTGAGGCGTTCATATACGCTGTTTGATTGGTTATATCAAGGAGCTGTAAAGACTATTTAAAAAACACTATATCACTTAGCAAAATATCACTTTAGGATCACTTTAACAGGTAAATGTTGAAGTAAACGGGCCGTGCAGCTTATTAAACTAAAAACAGCCACCACAGCACACAGAAGCACTACCTGAGAGAGCACATGCTGGTATAGAGTTGCACAACAAAGGATACGTCGTTTCAAATTCAACACCAAAATACCGATCGATGAAATTCTTCTTTTTTGAGGCGGCAGCGGCTCCACTATCACCGTCAGTCTGTTAATCGACCAAAAACATGCAGATAGAAGAAAATGATTACAATTGTTTTCAAAATTGTTTTCTATTTTCCAGAAAAATATGATAAAGAACTGCTTTTGTTTACATTAAATTCTTAAGTGTTTCTGTAATGAAACAGTTATATACAATAAACAATATGACCCGTGCTGGCAAAATGAGTCGAATTTTGAGCAAAAGGCAAAAGAAGTGGAAAAGCCCTCTTCTAGCGATCCCAATGCTCCAAATAGTAATTCAATATCTAAAATGATCTTTATTTGTACATTTTCTGAGAGGAGTACCTTTTTCTCTGCTCACTGGACGACTGCTGTTACTTCTCACCACAAGTTGTAGGTCTATTGTTGCAAAGCGAAGCATTCCAGCTTTGTGAATATTCATAACAAATTCTTGATTGAGTCCAAACCAGTGAAATATGATTTTCAAACCCATGCTGATGAAAACAAAGCGATCGCACTGACTGACATTTGCAAAGCATGTGCATAAGACGTGCCTCTCAGAGAGAGCGCAACCTTATAAAGTACATTATTGCGAAATATGTTTGTGTGAATCTCGCCAAGACATATTCTGTTATGTCTTACATGAACGTTTAGTTCATTAGTTCAAAATCGGATGTGCAACATTATATTTGATCCATGCATTACAGTAGGTCTCAATGTTCATCAAACATTAAAAGACGGAATCTCTCGCTGTTCTTGATTAAACTACTTTTATTTGCAATTATCTTATTTTTAATAACAAAGATAAAATAAAAATAGCTATATTGTGATTAATAATGTAGAAATTATTATTAAGAAAAGAATTAGAGGAAAATATACAACGTGGCTTGGTGATTTTGCTTTGGAATCTTCAGAAAACTTTAACTCGATTTTTCTCAAAATCAACTCTGCTGACTCTGACTGATTTTTTTGTCCGATTCCAACAAGTCATATGTGACCCTGGAGCACAAAAGCAGTCTTAAGTCGCTGGGGTATATTTGTAGCAATAGCCAAAAATACATTGTATGGGTCAAAATTATGCCAAAAATCAATAGGATATCAAGTAAAGATCATGTTCCATGAAGATATTTTGTAAATTTCCTACCGTAAATATATCAAAACTTAATTTTTGATTAGTAATATGCATTGCTAAGAACTTCATTTGGACAATTTTGGGCGATTTTGTCAATATTTAGATTTTTTTTCACCCTCAGATTCCAGATTTTCAAATAGTTGCATCTCGGCCAAATATTGTCCGATCCTAACAAACCACACATCAATGGAAAGCTTATTTATTCAGCTTTCAGATTATGTATAAATCTCAATTTCAAAAAATTGACCCTTATGACTGGTTTTGACCAGGGTCACATATATTATTTTGATGGTATTTTAATGGAGAATGTGAAAATAAAAAACAAATTTTTGAAAATGTGCTCATTCTGACTCATTTTGCCAGCACGTGTCACATATAATAAAATAAGCTCACGTCCAGTGGGGTTTCTGGTTCTTGAGATTCTAATTTCTGCTGAAGGACCCGCATAACCTGAACCCAGCACTCATTGGCATCCTGGGTAAATGAAAAAAAAAAAACATTTTATAACTTTCCATTTTAACAGAAAATATTCTGATTAAATGTATTCCAGTGAAAATATGTGATCAAAAAATGTATCTCCTGACCTGCTGGAGGTACTGGCCCTGGTCTCCTTTTTCGGCAAACTGTGGAAAGGCCATGTGCAGGAACTGCAGCAGGATGATGGGGGGAATGCTTGATGCGGTCTTATCCATGGACTCGTACAAATCACGCAGAGCTAAGTGAAGAATTCACCTGATCAAACAAGTGCTACATGCTGTCCACAAAAACTTAAAAGATTCAATATGACTACCCAGCTTAACTCTTCCTAATTCATTCAGGACAAACCGATCCTCAAACGTTGATAAAAAAGTCGAGAATTTTGTAACCTCAAAACTAAGATACAATGAAAGTTCTTCACCTGTTGTGATGTACTGGGAAGGTGCATTAGCTCCAGAAGACCGCAAGGCACCAGAGTACCTACAGATGGAAGAAAATTATCACAAAAAAACATTGATGCATTACACAAAATAAAATCTCTGAACTTGATATGAAAGACATGACTAAATTGTACCTCCTGAGAGCGTCTTTGAGCTCAGGCACAGAGCGTAGACACTGCACTGTTGCGTTCATGTAACATGTGTTGCCCAGATTTGTCAATCCACATGGCAACTCCATCTGAACATGACAGAGATTACAGAAACAAGTTCACAGCTGTTAAAACTTGTTTCTGTGATTTCTGCTGAAATATTAAAGTAGCAGATCTGATGATCCAAACTGGGTTGGCTAAAAACTCACCGCAGATGCAAGCTGCTCCTCCGTCATGTCCTCCACAAACATGGGTCGCACTACAGGCTCTTCAGGCAGGGCGTCAGCAGAGCCCATCATCAGAAGAGTCATCCCCTACATGAATCAAAACACCTGATTAGCTAAAGAAAACTCACATTTAGTGTCAACATGAAATAGCATTTGCAACACACTGTTAATTGATAGTGTAATGCATTACTCAAGTATGAAAATGAGCAGAAATCCAAAGTTCTGTCATGAAACTCTAGATGGCGCAGTCCAATGGGTCAAACTCAATCTGACATTATCACATCATTATTCACATGGTGCAGCTGATTGGTTCTTTTTGAATCACCAGCCAATGAGCTCGCTGCTCAACATTCAAATACTCGGCTAGTGCTTGCTGTAGCAGTTGCAGCGCGCTTCAGAAACCCTCCACCTTCCCCAGCTCCACCTGTATAGATCTGCTATGGGGTGATTTCATGTATGTTATATATGGAGGTTATTTCATATATGTGACCCTGGAGCACAAAACCAGTCATAAGTAGCATGGGTATATTTGTAGCGATAGCCAAATATACATTGTATGGGTCAAAATTATGAATTCTTTTATGCCAAAAATCATTACGATATTAAGTAAAGATCATGTTCCATGAAGATATTTAGTAAATTTCCTACCGTAAATATATCAAAACTTCATTTTTGATTAGTAATATGCATTGCTAAGAACTTAATTTGGACAACTTTAAAGGTGATTTTCTCAATATTTTGATTTTTTTTCAACCTCAGATTCCAGATTTTCAAATAGTTGTATCTCGACCAAATATTGTCCTATCCTAAAAAACCATACATCAATGGAAAGCTTATTTATTCAGCTTTTATATGATGTATAAATCTCAATTTCAAAAAATTGACCCTTATGACTGGTTTTGTGGTCCAGGGTCACATATGTTACATGTGCAGCAGCAGTATTTCTTACACGCTCACAGCAGCATGTTGTGGATGTGTTGGCAGTAGCGAGTCTCGGTACTTGCAGCAGCAGCGTAGCAGATCTATTCCGCCAAGACCAATCACATTAACAGTGTAATGTACATTGCCATGCCAATCCCTCTGAGAGTTGTCATGACAGAACTTGAATTGAACCATCTGGAATTCACTGATTACAAACCTGAGTTTGCAGTGGATTGTTAAGGACTGAAACTCTGTTGACACTTTTAAGGAGGTTTTTTTGATCAGGACTTGGAGAACAAAGGTCAAGATCACAGTTCAGTGTGCAAGCCTTTCAAAGCATTGGGTAGGGGTGTAACGTACACGTATTCGTACCGAACCGTTTCGGTATGGGTCTTTCGGTTCGGTACGCATGTGTACCACACGAATACAGTTTTTTTTTTTTCTTTTTTTCTTCTTCTCAAGAAATTCAAATAATAAATGGCGTTTTGACCGTCTTTTATGTGGCATGACAGATCGCTGTATGAACGCCTTGGAGAGCCGCTTCTGGGACGGTTCAGAAACGTGCTGGTATAATCCCAACACAAGCACTGACTAGAGCGGCCGCGATCAGCTCCGGTTCCCGTGTCTGAGCCGTGACGCCCCGCAGATTTTTGCAGAGCGGAGCGCGAGTGAATGCAATCATTCCTTCCTCTGTACTACTAGTTTTAACGCGAATAAACATGACTGAACATCTCATGCCTCATGTAATTGCTCAATCAGTGTTTCAACCGCGGAAAGACATCAACAATACAGCGTGGAAATAAAATGTCACGTAGCATTTAATTACCTCAGCAAGTCATCAGTGTCCACAGCTCGTCAGTTCACTAGAGAAATTAAGTCTAGAGAGGAGCATTTTGCAAAATATTACACCATATACTCATTATATTTTACTAAACCTGTTAGTCTTAATTACTTAATGTACAGTATGTTTAAATTAATCTGTTATGAAACATGCTATGACAGCCATTGTGTAATTGAATATATTTTAACAAATAGCTTAGAAAT